TTTAAACGTGGAAAAATTGTCCATGCTTTTTTTTAGACAACTGATGGCGCTGTCTGGTATCAATCAGGCAAGACATTGTTCAGATCACGTTTTTTCTTTTCTAATTGTGAACCAACAACTTGCTTTTTTGTAGTGACATGTTCTTACATTACCCTGCATTTCAAAAAAATGTAGACCGGGAAGATTTCAATATCAGGATTGTTTTTTCTTGCACAAATCAATTCAACGTTGAGGTTTTCTTGCTCGAATAATAGCAAATTGTGGCTTATGATATGGAAATTGGTATCGGCATAAAACCCCAAATGCGCCGTTTAAAATAACACTGACTGTATAAATTCAAACTCATAGAAACACTAAGGTGTATTTGCAAGGGTTGTAGAAAAGGATGTGCTCCATACGGAACCTGTACTAAGTCTACCCAGAACGTCTTGAATTTTGGTTTTAGATTGCAGTTTCGTGTAACGAAATAATTAATTTCTTTCCACTTTTTAGTTCATTTTTATTTCATCTGAAGTCAGATATCCGAATATGTTTATAATCAGCGCAGCCCTACGCCTGATCAAGGTTGATTTAAATCCGTTCTCTTAATTTAGTCAAATTAACGCAGTAGGATTAAGGTTTGGCTTAAGTTTTGAAGGCTTTTACTTTGAACAAATAAAAACCCGCCGTGTAAATTGTAAGTGTTGACATTGCATGCGATTTCACCGTTGCGGTTATCTTCGATTGTGCACATGCGCGTCCATAATGCCGACCTGCCAACCAGTCACACTTCCTGAGGTCAGGCAATACCACACAATAGATTAATAGGTATTTAGATGAACCCTCAGTTCATTTAAAATGCTAATCTGTTATGTGGTGATACCTGACCTCAGGAAGGAGAGCGACTGGTTAGCAGGTATGATAATGCCAGGAGAAACATGTAGGCCTATACCCTCTAACGCAGTTTCTGTGGATTGTTGCCTAACCTTGGGTCGAGTATTAATGATGATGCCAGAGATAATGGGGCGACCTGGAAAAGGTCTGGATGGCGTCCCAGTACAATAACCATGGGCGCTGGTAGCCGGACTCGTTTCGTTCATGTTTGCATTCATGTGTTTACCCGCCTTCTTAACCATTTACATTACGCCTGAGATTGACGCTGTAGGGGATGGGCAAAATGCCAGTGTATCCATGGATACGTGCTACGTGATGCGGTGGATTCAAATCGAAAAGAATCAGGCAAGGACATGCATCTGTAATCACATTATTTGGCGTTAAATGTCTGTATATAGTTGTTTCTGAATTGCTAAAAGGCGCAGTGAACTGTGCTTGTCACTCAAAAACTTCTCTGGTTCTAACTTTCAGGTTATTTTACAACCTCCTGAAAAATGCACTTTTTTTCAGACGAACTTCGCTGCCATTGTAGGGAAGTTTTTTTGCTCCTTTCTTTCGACACAAATGCTTTTAGCCCACTTCTGTCATCGCATCTTTTGTTATGTACACGTATCTTTGAAAAGCCTGTTCTTTGGAAATGTCGTTGAATTCGTACACCTCACCTGAGTGTCGACGCGGTTATTTATTTTTAACTTCAACAGTTGATCTATCGCGGTAGAATTGCGTCGACACAGCTTGTGAAAATATTGTCCAATTACATGATATACAAAATGGACGCGGGGCGCGCAAATTCTGAGACACGCAAAAGTGAGAGGGTTGTCTAATGGGCGTGGCTAAGTCGCTAACGGCAATATTCAGATGTTTTGCGCGTCTTTTAGCCACTTCATGTTTACATATTACTCTATGCCATGTACACTTACCGGTACAATTTATGTTAGCATGGGCTTGCGATTTATTACATGAGAATGGAATTCATTTTCTGAATTTTTTTCCGAGTTCTTCTCTGGGTTTGTCGTTATTTCTAAATAATCATCAATTCAATAAACTGCATCATATTCCATATTTTATCCTTTATTTATCGAGAATACCTGTGCTCTATTCTGTTCTCTCCACCCCTCAGAACCGGCACAGATCCTTTGGACATTCGGATATTCCCGAGTACCAACGATCAGCTATTGTATTTGTATAACAAGGTATTATCCGCCCCATGGATGCCCAACTACAAGAATTTAGCCTCATTCAGGTGAGAATTGTTCATTAACTCTCCTGCTGGAAACAGGAGAGGGCGATATGGAGCTGCCTCCAACTCTTTTCTCAGGTTTATTCTGCGTGTCCAGCAGTGGCTCCAGGCATGAGCTTTTCCGTCTCAGTAGATTGATACCTAATATCCGCTGATGGAAACATTTGCAGCTTCCATAATTTAGCCCAATATTTAGAGTCTTTCCATGTGCCAGAGACCAAGGCAAGTCATACAAGAATCATTAAGTTTAGAACAGTCCAATTAGAGTGTGCTTTGGACCCTGCCCTTCCGAAAATACTCGCCCTCTTCGCCATAAAGTCCGTGTCCGAATACATGGCTATATACGGCCTGGAATTACCCACGAGTCTGTAGTAGTGGCTGAAGTCAGTTTCCATAGAGTCGTGTGTAACTCGAAGCCGTAGCCAAGTGATTCAGACGCCGCCATGATTTTGAAATTTGGTTTTTGGTGTATGACATTGGTGTTGCCGTTTATATAAGGTATTAAAAAATCCCAAATGGAGAGATACCATAATATCCGAAGTGGATACATTGTACCAACAAGCAACAAGGAAAAACTGGTTTTACGTTCATGATGGCCGTGGCCCCCATCGACCATTCCGGAACCGCCAGAGGTCGCATTGCATACCGTACGAAATTGTTCCTTTGAAAAACAGAAAGGAGCTGTTGTTGGCGTTAATAAGCGTCTTTGTGTATGCAGGAAACGGTTTTTATTAAATTGTCTCCTTTACATGTACAGGTATTTTTGTCTTTTGATACACAGGGATGTGTTTTTTAGGCGAACCAAAAATATGACGACTCAGGATGAAGTGATTTTAAATCATCGAAACGTCCGCCTTGGGGACAGTCTTCCTTACGCATTCACCAACACAATGAGCAAAGACGGCGTCAAGTATTACTTCAATGTTACGCAGGAAATTCTGGACGAGATACCAGTGGTAAAGAACAAAGAACGAACATTTAATCGGGCATTTTGTGATAATAATTCCCAACTCGATATTTCAGCAAGGCTAGGTCATTCGGGATAAAAGCGCTTGACGTCACGCCACCTGGATGGAGAATGTTTAGCGCTGGAGTTGGCGCGCTTCGGCGCTGATTGGACCGATCCCTAGCGCGCGTTATGATCATGAACTGCGCACGTGCTGTTGGAACACTGATCTGATTGACTCATACATGTGCGTGTATTGTACAATAAAACTGTAACCATTATAAAGGGGTCATTTTCATGCAATAAGGCTCTTCAAGTTGATGAAACAAATGAAAATAACGCGTGCTTGTTTGTATTTATGCAATGAAAACTATTAAAAGAGAGGCCGAGGCAGCTAAAACAATTTCACTTGAAAAATGCATGGAACTTAACCGTCCATAAAAATCCCTTCAGCAATCAAGTAAAGGGTGAAGAAATAACAACATTTTATGTATCATTTTCCCTTCTGTAGGCGTCGCCATTATCAGGAAAGGCGTTTCGACGGTGTAGCGTCGTCGGAAATAGTGGCATTCTTCAGGACAGTAAATGTGGAAAAGAAATTGACAGCGCGGAATTTGTTTTCAGGTACATTTTCTGACCCCCCCTTCAATATGTTTTGCGGACAAGTTAAAAGCTTGGAAAGCACCCTTTTTAATTAACTCTCTTTTAAAAATTATGACCCAACAGATCAAACGTTCCACCTCTTCGGCCGTTTGTTGTCGACGCCGGAAGGAAATCTAACCTATCAACAATGAACCCCAGTGTAGTTCATAAAAGGTAGGCCATTCGGTCAGGTTCAGCGTGTTGTGCGACATTAGCAACTATTGTGTCGGAATTCTGCGCACTTTAAAGTGGAGGGAATGCAAAAACACGAACACTGCCGCGTGCGTGCATTACACTGCAAAAAAACTTCGGTGTTAATTCAACACCCTGGGTGTTATCAGAGGACAATGCCAAACTTTACCTAACCGTTAAGGTTAGGGTAAACACCGATAACACCGAGGATGTTAAATTAACACCAATCTCACACCACAGTTTTTCCAGTGTAGTACTACGCCGGCTGGTCAAGGGTGGGGGCTCTCCCCTCAAACTCTGTCAGGCATACATGAGGAAAGCCACTGTCATAGAAGCGTAAACATTACCTTTCTCACGACAGACAATTGTCACTGATATGTACACCGAAGAAAGTGTTGATTCCCGGAGGGGGGACATTAATGACCACAAAATACAATTTCCTGGAGTCGGTTCCAACTATGAAGTCCGAAGGGGTGCCCTAGCAGAGAGAGCGGTAAAAGACAAGACGGTGTTTTGGTGTAGAACCGTGTTAACTTTTATAAACGAAAGTATAGTGAGAAAAGCCGGACTCCAGTGGTTCTTTTTTGACACTGCTTCTGCCGTTCGTCTGTTCTCGGAGAGTGTTTGTGATTTGTTCATTCTTCAAACCAAAATCAACCCAGGTATTTCATTGACTATTCTGAAAGTTTCTATACACTGTAAAAACATGTGTAAATGTTTTAACACCTTTTAAACGTCTACCTGGTAGCACTCTGAACGCGCTGTGGTGTTAGTAATCCAAACCTAATCACGTTGTGGTGGTAATTTTGTGAACATTGTGTTCATAAATCTAGACAAATGACACATTTGGGTGTTAATAACAAGACACAAAAACACGTTTATCTGGTGGGAACACCTTCTGAACACCAAACCACGTTCATTTCCAAAAACTGTTTAATTTTAAACGGTTACACGTTTACAACGCAGAGACGCGTTTATAATGGGCGTTAGTTTTCACAGTGAACTGTCAAACGCAAACGTTGGGTGTTAGTTGGTTTATCGTTTCCACCGCGATATTGCATTGCAGCCTTAGTTGTAAATGTGTTGTACGTGTTACATCCGATAACCGTAGTTGTTTTCATACCAAAATGTGAACGAAAATAGTGATAAAAACAGCTTGGAGGTATCACAATTTTCGCAGGAAATTTTGGGAAATTCCTGCAGGTCGTCTGCCAAAACAATAATTAAGAGCCATGACTGTAACGGGCTTCTCTGAACCCAAGACCAGACCATTACTCTAGACAACCGATTCGGATGCAGCTGAAGTATATATTTTGTTAAACAGACGCAATCGGTGATACTGTCCTTTTCCTGCAGTGCAATTTACTCCATGGTTTTTTTTTCATTGTGGTCGTAGATATCGCCGCTTAAAGGACATTTCCGACCACGAGAAATTCGCTAAGGATATCGGCGAGTACAACGGCATGCTGTGGCTACCGTGCGTGGGGTCCGTCAAGATGGTGGACATCTGCCTCCAGGCCAAACGGTCGCTGGACTTCCACGGCAGCGGCAACCCCCGGCCTGCCATCTCTAACCCGAATCACTACATCGCCGTGCAGCACTTCTGGGGTCAAAGGAACCTGACGCAGTTCATGTCGACTGGTAAGTTAGCTCATGCCGCCCTCTGTCGCTGAGGCCAATCTATCGCGTTTGTTCACCCGTCCTTGGCCACGTCAGAATACTTGTCTGTGGTTTGAAGCCACACATGACGCTATTTGGAAATTGCTACAGCCTATGGCGTAGACTCGTGTAATTTCAAGCCATAGCCAAGTAAACCAAACACGGCCACGATCGCCACAGATTACTAGCACCGTACTTTCGCAAAACAGGAACCCTTCTCAACTCCGGTGACTTTCGCTGCAAATGCCAAAATTTGTGATTACTTTCCCACCGTGTATAGTAACCTGCTCTCGCAATGACGGTCGTCGAAGTAGGCCGGCTAATTCGTCCTGATTGAAAGGATATGTTTAACTTTGCATTGACATCACAGATTATTTTGTGCTCGCGTTCGCGCGCCTTGGTCGAACTGGCCTTGGGAACGGTGCCAATTGCAAAAAAAAAAAAAAAAAATTCGATAAAGATCGACGCGCTTGGTATGTTTTGCAGGTGGAACACGCAAAGGAATGAACCTTTGTACAGTTTTTAAGTTCACTGTTTTGATGCCACGGGCCATTTCTCTACAAACTGAAACATTTAACTTGGCCTTAACTTTTTTGAAAGCAATAGTAGCTATCGGTATACCCAGCAAGATATGGGACGGAGGCGTTCCCCTCCTACATGTCCAATCCCTATACACACTCTAGACTATTACCTAACACATCCCCCTAGATGTCTGTAAAGAGTTCCTGAGATTATGAGATTACGATGGAACAATGAGCAACAAAATTGTGTGTGTGGGGGGGTGCTGTCCATCCCATATCTTGCTTCATATGGCTATCGCGTACAGTCTGAATGAATTCGATTTGAATTACCCCTACGGCTGGCACATCTTACATGAACATGGAGGCAACACCGGTGTTGTCTAGTGTTTCCTGGGAACCTGGCCGTGTGAACGGGGATACTTCAGCATGTGTTTTGACTGACCGAGATTTATGATTTTCCCACATCCACGTCTTTGTGTCATCTGGTTTGGCCCTTTGATCTCTTTCTCTTTTGAAAGGAAAAAAAAGACCACCACGAAATCTGCGAACCGGAAACTCACACCAGGATATTTCAATAAAAATACAGCCTTCGGCTTTTATACCGTTTGACAAGACATAACTTGGGAAATTACAAACCCCAACACCCATATAAACGCGTCTATGCGTTAATTGTAAGCGTGTAACCGTTTAAAATTAAGCAGCCTTTTGGAAATAAACGTGTTTCGGTGTTCAGAAAGGGTGACCACCTATGTTTTTGTGTCTTGTTATTAACACCCAAATGTGTCATTTGTCTAGATTTATGAACACGCTGTTTAAAAATAACCACCACAACGTGATTAGGTTTGGATTACCAACACCGCAGCACGTTCACAGAGTGCTACCAGGAGGCGTTAAGCATTAAAGCCTGTAATCACCGTGAAAATATTTGAAATGAGAAACTTGTGTTCAGTTTCATGTATGTGCCAATTATGAAATCCAGGTATCTCCAATGTTTCTTATCATTTTAATGCATGTGTACTTGTATCGTCCACAAGGTCGGTCGTTCTCGTTCCTTGCATCTTCTGGGAGGCCTCATCAATTCTTCCCTTTTATTTGCGATCCTTGACAGGTTTTTATGTGACCCACCTGTCGTTGGCCTTGTGCGATGAGACCCACTTGTACGGCTTCTGGCCTTTTGGTAGCACGGTGGAGGACAGTCCCGTCGACGTCGCCAACAGCAACAACACGATATCGTTCCACACGAGGAAAGTCCGCTACCACTACTTCGACAACCTGCCGGGACCCAACGGCGCCCACGCCATGCAGGATGAGTTTGGCGTCCTGGTGCAGATGCACAAGCTGGGCATGCTGAAAATGCACGTCAGTAGGTGCAGAGACTGAAATTCTTCCACCACTACCTCCCGTCCCTCTTGTTTTTGTTTTTTGATGTTGAATATTCCCTCTCACCCGATATATACTGCAACACCGCGTGGGTGTCTAAACCCGCAACGAGCGACCCGTCCGTGATCAGCGACTTGGCGACAACGCCCTCTGCCTGCCTTGAGAGCCGAAAGCTGGTCTAAGTCACCAAGAGTGGGCGCCACTTACGCGGTCCGGTCGTGCGATTTTTGGCTCATCTCTTGGGTGACGTTTTCACGGCTACACGTGTTTGCGGTGGTCGACAAGAGCTTTCCACTTTGCAAGGCTGAAACGCCGGCGCCGCAGAGCCAAAGGACTGCCCCAATCAAGCAGCTGTTTGCGTAGAAATATCACAAAAGTTGTGTCACTGTTGCCGTTTTAAGCTCACGTTGCAGCTAAGCAACGTTTAGCAGTGCTTTGAAGTTCGGTCCAGCGACTGAATGTTACAAGCAGAACATGTCATGAAAACACGCCTTTCCAGATGACGACGGAGTTTCTGTTTGCCAAATACCCTGTCTGATCGGAAGGTTCAAACGCCATGATTTTTCCTTCGTTTCTGATTATTACTTGTACATAACGTCCCCGTTCTTAGCTATACATGTATGTACACATTTTACTGCCTCACTATGTAGTGTGTGAGACTTAAATTTCTGCACAAGAAAAAGTGGCCTGTATTTTTGAAACAGTCCATGTAGTATTTGCAAATCCCCCGTCTGGCGTGGGAATTACTCTCTGGTATTAAGTCACGTCGTTGTTTGCGTTCTGTTCATTTCTTGAGCACCTGTTCTCTCTTTATCTCCATTAAGAATAGTGTTTCGTATATGTCAGTATTTATTGGTATTATAAAGCAAGTTTCAACGTTTTTTTTTTGGGGGGGGAAGGAGATGTTGCTTGTCTGGAAGGAGGTTTGAGGCTACAGTACTGCATTACGTGACAACGTTTTTTAAGTATTGACGTAAAATGTTCGATGGTGTAGTGCTTTGATTTTTTTCGTGCATTTGTTGTCTTGTTTTTTACAAAGTCTATGTGTTTCAATGTTGTGGTGTTGTTTCAAAGTTCATGCCGACATCAGTACTGGAACGGTACCCTTTATACGTGTGTTGCTGCGACGTCGCAAGTCGTGTGTCAAGGGGGAAACCCCCGGGGAATTTCCAACAGAGTGTGCTATAGGGTTTCTTCAGTTGGCTTCGTGCCTTGTTTTCCCGTACTTAGAAAAGCCTGATCGGCGTTTTCTTCGGAGACGGGGCACTTAAGAAATCGGCTTCCTGTCTGTCCAAGAGTGGGAGCCCCTTGTCCTCAAAAGTGTCCAAAACTTAACTCTGCTGATTCCCAGGTTTCTGGCCCGTGTTTTGTGGACGTCAGCGAAGAGGCTGACGGCCAAAGAAAGGGCCCACTTGTGGTCGTAAATAGGGCTGGTATTATCGGGTGAAGTCGCGTGTGATGTAAAAGTGTGTGTTTTGCTTTTATTGTGTGTGGCCACAAAGGCACAAATTAAAGTGTTTTAGGATTTTTAAGTGCTGTTGAATGCCTCTTTGTATTATCGCAGGTTAAGATAAACCAATCATGGTATAAATCTTCAACTAGTGCATTGCAATGGTGCCAAACCAGGTATAAATGTATAGTTAGAGACACGGCGTAAAAAGTTGTATAGTTGGCTTTGTTTATACGTCGACAAAAACCCCTAAACCGGGGGACTTTCAGGACGGGGTATTTCTAGTGATTGGAATCAACGTGTAGGCCTATGTTTCAAAAGAAATCGGGAAGAAATTCATGTTTTATAAACCAAGGGCTCAGACGAAACTTCCTTCTAGGATGAGCATGAACGCCAAGCCATAGTTAAAGACATTTCATGATTCTTGTTGGAAAGCGTTTATGGACTGCTTATGTCCGAATGGCTGTTAATCTGTGAATGCTTTTTAATCACGTTGTCCTCTTGGACCTGTTTATTTAGCACGACGGGAGCGGCAATTTACGCTTTGTTGCTGTTAACAGCATACTTCCATAAGCAATACGCAGAAATCCTAGGGTACTACGAGGTATCCTTAGGTGAGGCTGTTGTCATTTGAAGCGGGGATATCCGGCCGCCCCCGTAACAATGCCCTGAGTATGATTCGGAGCTGATACAACTTCACCTTTTGTGGGAAACAAGCGCCACCATAGTTACAGGCACGTCTCGACTCGCGCTTACGGAGCTTCAGAAGTGCCATCCGACTTGTTGAGATGCCGACACATTTTGGTGGGCAACACATCGACATCCCGAAACAACTTAAGGGGATGACGTCCCATCGAGATAGAATTTTGACACCCTGCCGTAAATCGCCGTAATTACTATTTAATGAGGACGACATCCTGAGAAGTTGGATTGGGACTTCACGAGATGATCACAGAATGAAGACATCCCAAGATTGGGATGTTGAGTACCGGTATTAGTTATCGACGTCCATAGATGATTTATTACTGCATGGTATCCCCAAAGCAAGTGATACCTAGGGGTGTCAAATTCCTACTCTGAGGATGTTAACTTGTGATCTGATAAGCCTTTTGCAAGTTAAATTTGAAGAAAATCTATTAGGTTATCTGATTACACATAAACATAACCATTTGAATTCCTCAGACTAGAGACGCTGTTGATATACCTCGTAATTCGGGGCATGGCTTTTGCATCGCGACCACCACTTCTGGAATGGACTGGATCCTTTGTGCCCTTCTTATCCATTGAGAACAGTGTATTGGTGCAAGGTGTCTCTTATGTAACTAAGCAAAAGCTTGCCCCGAATCACGAGGTATAGCAACAGTGTGTTTAGTATGGAGAATTCAAGTTATGTTCACGTGAATTATTATCCCAGGACATCTACCATCATAAAATTATCCGAAGATATCGAAATCTCGCCGCTGATTAAGTTGTCATCCCATATAGTAAATATGTCAGTTTCTCAAGTCGGATGGCATTTCCAGAGCTCCTTCCGTGCTCAGCTTACGTTAAGAAAGCATATGCTTCTGTCTGCACCACGAACGGGCCTTCGGTATCCGTCGTTACCTTGCTTGGATGCCGTGTGGCTTGACCTGTCCTGCCAAGGACCCGTTTTTCAATGGTTTTTCACTCATCAATTTTGCTCTTTTACGAGAAAAGTGGCATGCCGTCCCAAATACCACGAGTAGTGAATAGTGGCTGGTTCTGTGCTGCCGTTCTTTTTCCATCAAGAAACTGAGCACCCGCGAAATTAGCTTGTTAGATAAATTATGTATATATATACATGGACAACATTTGTGATACCCAACTGTTGTTATCGTAATGTGCATAGTTATTGGTGCAATAAAATTGTAATGTTTTATTTCATTGGGGAAGACCACTGCCGAAAAGCGATACACATAGTGGTTTTTTTAGAGGTGCACCCTGTGACAAAAAAGAGTTGGTCCAACTATAAAGAAATGTGTGCATTAGAAGCGTTTCAGACAAAGGGCACTCGGCCAGCTCTCTTCCGAAATGGGGTTCTTCCAGAAAGTGTAGTTGACACACAAGATCATCTCGTCATTTCCTAAAGTTATGCGATCAGTGCTTTAAAATGAAAATGTAGTTCGTACTTCATTGCAGTTCTGCACTTCCAACAGGAAGTTTGAAACCAAACCTTTCTTGAAGAAATGTGACAAATGCGTCATTTTTTATGTACGTTAAAGTGGTAATTTTTTTCTCCGTCAGTACTATGATCTATCTGTCGGGTGTACATGTATCGTGTTGCCTGAACTGTAGAAAGACCTTTTTGTATAGTGATTGAAAGTGTTTGTTGAATTTGTATTTAGGATTTTCTGTCTGGCTGTGATCACATTTAGGCTTTTATAATATAAACTTGTAATCCTTTTGCCTGAGGGCAGTTGTTGTTATTATTATTATTATTTGGACACAATTCTTCGGTATTAAAATACAATATGATAAGACAACTAGTTTGAATCTGTCTTTTTTAAAAAGGAATTTCTCCCTTCTGGCCCTGTGATTTTGAAATGATAGGGAAAGGTTTTGGAAATTCAACCATGGGTACTGTTAAATTCAGTGATCCTGTACATGGTTGGATGTTTTGTTTGGATACGCGCAAAACGTATACCATGAACTTGTAGGCCTATTATCCAAAATTTGATTGCAAAAACATTGTGTTTTATTTCCTTTTAATTAATTACCAAACCGGACAGATTGCAAAAACTGTCGATAGGTGGCACATGTTGACAGCCATTGAAGCCAACGGTATACAAGCGTTGGTTGTGAAGCCTTAACCCTAACACTCCCAAATCCTCCAATTTCAATACGATTTTATATACACCCTAGGGGGTTAGGGTTAAGGTAAAGGTATACGAATTCGCGAATGTACAAGTTGGAAAATATCTGATACAGGCAGGAGTTGGTGCCAAGGCTTCGTTAAGGTCCAAGTTGATCTTTCTCCGTGGAGTCGTTTGTTCCCACCTCCATTTTCTCTTTTGGTTTGTTCCTTTCCCATCGTAGAGAGGAGCAATTATTCAGGTAGGCCTATGCGTGTGTAGTGCACGTGTACATCGTTGCGCAATATACCGTCTGCACTGAGCCGCAACGTTCGCATTCGGAACAGGAAATGCAGAGCCGAAAACAAGTCGGAATAGACCACTTTCTGGGGGAAATTAATGCGCCAGTCGTTTGCAATCCTTTTCGTTTGAATTCTTGGAAAAAATCTGTCCGCTTCGTCAAGGGACACAGTGTGCGTGCAGATATATATCAACTCCTCCACTATACTTTCCGCACAACTAAGCAGACGATGAACTTGCAAGCTATTGGTCCCTCGAGCAAGCTCACATTGATTTTGGTGTGACAAAATCCGTTGCAATCGCCTTTTAAAGCCGAACCTCTTTAATTTAAGTGTGGACGTTCGTGTAATGGCAGACTGATCAACAGGTTTTATCAAGGAGTTCCACTTATACACTGCACCAATCTTTTGAGGTTAATGAGTTGTAAAGATAATTTGTTACCCGGCGGCTCTTCGAAAGGTATTACAACCGACTGCTCTGCCGCCGACACGCAGTTCATTCATACCACCTAGCAAACGTCAGACTCACAAGTGTACGTCAGAAACGCGAGTTCTCGTTTCAACACCGTGGTTTTAATGAAAACGGTTAGCCGCTACAAACAGTACACCGTCATCCTTGGGTCTGGTCCCCAGAGTGATAGAGGTGAAAATCTTCGGGTAATCCGCATTGTGGGACCGTAACCAGTCACACAGCGTCCTCCCATTGATTGGTTACTTTGGTGAAATCCGTGCACTGATCTCTGCCATGTATCTTGACATAGGGGAAATCGTCGCTTGGAAAGCGTGAAGGTTTCCTATTGGGAGTGCTATCTACCGTTTTGTACGCAGGCATGTTGCCGTCATGTGCTTCGAGGTTTTCATAAAACGGACAGCGCACCGTACCGACGTATAACCATTCGTCTGTGGTGCCACAGGATGGGCCTGTATCAAGCCTTGTTGATGTTTGCCAGATTTTTTCCGATCGTAAGCGGCGGCGGTTTGATCCGTAAGTATCCATTTGCTCAGAAATCTCGCCATGTCGGGATATGGATGTCGTAATCTGCAGCCCTCATATTTTTGTGATGATAATCGGGAACCGAACCTGCCGCTTTTAAGCGGTTGCTGAGCGCTGAAAGTTGACTGCATCCCAGTGTTGTAATCGAGACCTTTATGTCCGAGACCGAGACCAAGGCATCCGAGACCAAGACCGAGACCAGTTCTTTCAAGACCGAGACCAGAACTTCGAGACCGAAACTTTTTCAGTTCGAGACCGAGACCAAGATGACCGAGACCGATACCTTGCACAACATATACAATATATAGGCCTACACGTAGTTCATTGATGGAAAACGTGGTGGACAATTGGCATTAAACGGCAAAATAAAGTGCAAATTTTACATGTAAATCACACATATTCAATATTCCATGAAAGAGTTTTATTTGAACTCTGGGAAAAAACACAGTTATTTTGACCATGAAGGCATGGACTGCCGATGCTATAGAATTTTGTATAGAGTATACAGCATAATTGTATATTAAACATGTACATGTACAGAGTTTTTGTGTTCCATATGTATAGAAAAATTAACGTGGGCGGGCCATGTCCAAATGTTTAAAAAGGCAAAACGTGGGGTCTGAGTTGCTCGGAATATGCCAAAAGGTGTGCATGAGTTCAGTTTATGAGTTATACTCTGTAATGATCAATGGACAGGCTAGAAGGGTCACACAACATCGTGGGCAGTTCCCTATTAAAAGTACATGTACATGTATGCACACACAAATGACGTATGTGAAAGAGGTACTGCACGCAGGGTACCAGTGCTCCGGGCTGAGAATATGCATTAGTCTCCATTCCAGCTTTGATTTCATTCTTTATCGTGAATACCATGTCGTACATGTTCCAAGCATACATGCGGAATTGCGTGCAGTTCGGAACTAGACTCATTCGGAGGTAAACTTGCGCTGCAAGTAGCACTGCTATACACATGTACATAATTATGTGTGCTGTATGTACCGTACGATCCGGGTACGTGATTTTGCCGCAGCCGAGCGTGAATTGTTGACGCACATTTTCTGCATTTCTGCCATGGTCTCGGCAGGTCTCGGGTGGGAGACCCGAGACCTCGGCATCCAAGACCGAGACCAAGACTGAGACCAACCCTCCCGAGACCGAGACTCTTGTAGGCCGAGACCAAGACCGAGACCGAGACCTCAAAAAAAGGTCTCGAGACGGTCTCGAGATCGGCCCGAGACCAGGTCTCGAGACCTCCAACACTGCTGCATCCGTTCAGTTATGCGTGCAAACTTTGATCTTCAGATTACTGGCATTTGTGTCCCGGAAATTTGAACATAATACGCAAGAAAGGAATGTACACAGAGAGAGAGATAATACAGTTTAACGTGTACCTTTTTAGCGCTTACCAAATATTTACAGGTGTCGCTTTAAAAGAGGACGAATTCAAACCAGAAACGATGTTGCACACGTTAAATGTGGGAAGAGTTATCCTTGTTGAATTTCCATATGGTAGGTTTAATTTCAGATTAAAAATGTCCGCGCGCTAATTTTCTGTTCACCGTGTCAGTCTTTCTCTCTGCAGCAAGGTCACCTTTTCTTAAATTCCCAAATTCTTAGTGACCTGTTTCATCTTAGTGGTCAAATTGTATGATGCTTATTTGGGAATCGTTCGGTTAACATCGATTTTAAATTGAAAGTAAAAAAAAATGGATTACATTCATTATTCCTGTTGTCAGCAACACTGGCGTCCCCAAATGTAGGTTTCCCCCAGTGTTGCCAACTTGCCACAGTAATCTGAGATGATTAGGAAAACTTGTAAATCATTTCTGATCGTTAAGGTTCACAAAATTTATCTCAACACAGTAGATGTAACACCAACACGAGACAACAAAAATTGAATGGGAAAATTATATTCATCTCAAAAGTGTTTCTTTTGTCCTTTCGAAATTTTACGTTTTTAAACGTCTCTGGATTTTTGAAGGGTGACATTTGGACATTATTTTGGTTGCACCTGCTAAGCTACGCGACCTGATAGCGGGTGCAAACTTTGCGTCCCCCCCCTCAGCAAAGTGTGTTATAAAAATGTTTACCAAAAAAAAAGCCAATTATCTGGACGTTACTCAGCACGTCATTAGTCTCAGCACTGTTCCGATTGTCGGCTTTGTTAGTTTTTTGGTACCGTAATTAATACTTGTAACACACTTTACAGTTGGAGGGCGTAATGTTTGCTGATGGTTAATATCCACTTGTGGGCCACGCGACTTAAGAGGCGCAAACGAATGAGTAAATTTGTCCTGTCATTTTGCGCGCTGAGTCTTTTCTGTCCGAGTTTAATTAAAGCGAATTGTAGCGGCAGAAAAAAACGCCTGATTAAACTCTAAAAAAATTAAATCACATTTCAGTGGTGACACCGAAGGAACGACCGGAAACAAGTCCAGATATCCTTGATGCCCTCTGTTGTTCACCGGCATGTTCGACGTGCCCTGGACCTCAAGGCAAGGCAGTGGATCGTATCCGAACGAAGATAGGCCCCCTTTGCAAATGTGATTCGCTCTGTGTCAGTTATGGGGACTGCTGCCCCGGCTATTCTGATCGATGCCTGTTCGGTATTGGAGACCACTCAACGCCCTGGGATGAGCTTGAATGTGTTAGGACGTCGAACGCGTTGACCCAATTATACAAGGATAAATACGGTTTCTACATGGTATCAAAATGCCCGTGGTCGAAGGATTGGGGAGCGTATAACGAGCTCTGTCGAGCTAATCGCTCAAACTTTACAAAGATCGCTGTTGGAGAGGTCAATGACATTATGGGGATGCTGCCAGTTGCAAGCAAGATAACGGGATTGCACTACAAAAACATTCACTGCGCGCTGTGCAATGGAGTGCCGGCAGACAGTCTGGTTCCTTGGGTTGCCCGCTCCGACGAACGCGTGGAAAGTGAAAGTGAAGAGCACATTCGGTTCTGGTTTGAACCCCCTGATGCGCCCTCTCTCGGCAATATAACTTACCCTCGAGATTGCAGCACTGGTGTCGATGTATCCGATGCTGATTCACAAAACAGTTCCGTGGCCCAGAGGTGTTCTGAATGGACAAACGTGTTGGACAGCGATATGTGTCTAACCTGCTCACGAATTGCAGATACGCCCAGGTGTTACCTTCCTCCCTCGTCTTGGTTTGATGTTGATGTGCCATCGTTCAAAATTCCATTCAACTTTCCATCATTCGTTCAAAACACTGTGCAACCCTATCCCTGCCCTGACAGTTTTTCCTTTGACCCAGATCAGCGGAAGTGCGCTCGCAACGCCGACTCGATAGGCATGACCCGATCGACCAAAGAATTGCTCTGTTTGCCACTCCATTCCGAACTCCGTTTGGTCTGGTTACGCTTGCAGTTCTCATCCCTTCTCGGGCCATCCCCACTAGTGGTCATACACCAAGACGTCAGGTCGGCTTTCCGCGAAACTTTTGCCGCTGCTGACCCTAGCGTGGAAACCGATTCCTTGCTTCATCGTCGCTGGAGCCGGCTAATACCAACCGAAGAGAGCGGAGCTATCTCCTTTAAGGTTCAGCTCACTCTCAACGCATCCACTGAACATTTACTTGGCGCCACAGCAGAAGATCTCTTAGCAAACCTTGGAGTGAATCGGTCTTACCTCGCGTCGGCGATAGAGTATATGTTACCGTGCGGTAAATACGCCATAGAGCAATGTGACCCCGAGTCTGGTTTAACTGAAGTCCAGGATGATGACATCACACTGTCTAACGGTACCTTAATTTTGAACATGACGAAAAAAGAGCTCCAATTCAGCACATTGTTGAAGAAAGTGGGTTATGATTTAAAGAAATCAGAAGGTGGAAATGTTGTTTCTGAGACAATTCAATTGTTCATCTGCAACATTAAAGGTCACACCAAGTCCGGACAGGCACAACAGTTGCTGTATCTAATTGGCACCGTGGTTTCATTGGTGGGACTTCTGCTGACGTTTATCACTTACGCCATCTTGCCTGGACTTCGCACGGTCCCCGGCCTGGGCACTATGAATCTGATAGCGGCGACGTTTATGGCTCAGCTGGGACTGCTGGTAGCCGGCCAAGCAGCGAGCATCGTCCATCCCGTATTGTGTACTGCTTTGGCGGCGTTCCTGCATTATGTTTGGTTGGCATCGTTCTCCTGGACCTCGTGTCTCGCTTTGGGTTTGAGTCAAGCGTTTGGCAGCCCGATCGGCATGAAGCGGCAACAACGAAGCAGGGTGTCCACCGCGAAACTAAACGCCCTCTATGGCTGGGGAACACCTGGGCTCATCGTGGCCGCCTGCTTGGCCGTCCACTTCGCTGGTCACCAGAGCGGGGCTCTGTTGGTTTACGGCGGGGATATAACGTGCTGGATTCATCCTAAGAAGGCTAATCTGGTTGTCTTCGGGGTACCAGTGATGTTGTCTCTCATGGCCAATATTGGTATGTTTGCTAGGGCTGTGAGAGGGGTTCGAGCGTCCAAGGCGACTACGAAGTGCTTGAAAGCAGACGTCTCCTTCGCTCAACGTGCCAGACAGGAAATGGTCATTTATGTCAAGGTGAGAACGCGGTGTTCATTACTTTCTCGCATCCACACCCACGAAACTTACCCCCCGGTAGTATTTAAGGCAAATTCTACCAACATCTTTATGCAAATGCTATGAATTTGAGGGATAATTCCAAATTTTATTCAAGTTCCAAATTTACTCCGTCTTTGCTGTCTCTGTAGAAAGTACTGTATTTTATTCGATGTGACCCTTTGGTTGGATTGTTGTAAAGGTTATGAGGCTCAAATAAAAAGCTTTAACACAAAAGATTCCCCTCAAGAGTTTCTAGGTCGAATCTTGCCGACAGCTTGTATCACAAGTGGGACAAGACAGTGGGTTTTGAGTCTGCTTTATAAAAATCCCTGCTGTGGCAAGGAGTGAAATGTTTGCCCCAAAGGGAAATAATGTCAAATACATTTATGTAGATTTGATTATGAGATCTAAATGACTGTCGATTTGACTATGCCTCGATAACAAAATGTGAACGAGGACAGTGGCGCACCCGGAGAGGTGGCTCGAGGAGGTTTCACCCACAGAGAAGTTTTCAATTTTTTTTCACTTCCTAGAATACGAAGACACAGTAGACACCTTGATGATAAAAGCTATAGATATCTCAGTCCCCTATGGCCAAACGGGGAGGAGAGCATGAGCTACTGTTGGGGATAAATTCTGCTCCGAACGCTCCCCCGACAAACCCTGGGTGCGCCGCTCAGTGAACAAAAACGCTACAGAGACAGCATGGGTGCATAGTGTCCATTTTTCCTCTCCGTTTCAGGTCTCCTTGCTGATGGGTTTCTCGTGGTTGTGGGCACTTCTCGGTTCGTTCACCAACATCGACGCCTTCTGGTTCGTCTTCATCATCTTCAATTCCTTCCAGGGCGCCTACATCTTCGTGGCTTTCGTCTGCAACTCCAGGGTCCTGCGTATACTCCGGGCGAGGCTCCGCGGTAGTAGACTTGACCAACCACGAGCTGTCCGTCAGACGACCCGACGGGAACGGAACGGAAGGCGAATGCCGTCTTCGTCCAATAAGACTCGCAGTTCGAATGGTTCGTAATATCCTAGCTTGTTGCAAGAACTCATGGCTGTCCCATTGTACACAATCATGGGAGCGTGGTTGTGGACATCGCGCACACGTTGTACACAAGGAGGGAGGGAGCGGTTCGAAAAAATGCGTTTAATAATAAATTTGTTTTTAACAAATTATCCTGGACTCACTTTTTCCATGTTATACCTTTCAACAATTGAAAATCGGCACAACACATTACCTTTCACTTATACCGTATGTATCTAACTAGTATCAGTGCCTTTGATCTGATAAGTCAAAGAGCAGTGAGGAACAAGGCTTGTTCCCTGACGTATCATTAATATTTCAGGCAGGTAGCTGTTACCGTAAAGATAGAGTATGACGTAGTGCGTAGGACGCCTCCATCTATTTTGAGATGCAGCGCGCACACATCCGTTTGTTTTATTAAACAGTAAACATAAATTGGAAATCTTTGCGTAAAATAATAAACAGGGGAATTGAGAAGCTTAATCTAATTGTAATGCATATGTAAGGGAATCTGTAAAGAAAAGCTATTTCTATGTAGGAACCCCTCTCGCGAATGCTGACTACTTGGAGATCAACGAATAGGATTGGTATATTTCAGCCAATTTCGGAAACTTTGGGGAACAGAGTCACGTGATTATGGTGGCTACTGGACCTAAGACATATCTCGAACTAGTCGGTACCTCAAGACCAGACTAGATATGGAAACACTGCGAGTTGTGCCATGCGAACGGGGAGGGGTCTAAAAACGTCAGCATTTTGTGGTACCTACAGGGACAGCCCATATACATTGATAAAGGCTTTTCTGTGTCTGTATGTATAAAACATTTGCATTATGAAGTATAAAATTTTCTGCATTAATTTGCTGACGAAACATCAATGTTCCTTTCCTAGGATGGCTCATGTCCTCAACCCCAGTTTCATAGAAAATCATAAATGTTCCACCGGAACAGCAGCAAGAATTGTCAGGCGTCATTTCCCGGCCGTATTCAGGAATACTGATGGCAGTAGTGTAATTGAATAGAATGTTGACCAAGATTCAAACGACATCACTGTATCATTTATTTCTGATGATGTTCTCAAAACGTCAAGATTGTGGTTTTAAACGGCGTCATGGCTTAGCTCACTTTACACGTTGTACATAGTTGACTTTCACATGGGGACATGTGCATAGTTCTGAAATAACAAACAAACTTGTGCTCTCATCCTGTGCATGATAACATTGATAGCATCAACAGCTTCTGTTCGCATTCCAGAGTAATTTCCAATCAAATTCTCTTTCATATCCTTATTTGTGTGATTGGCAGATATGAAATATGTAATATTTTCTTTGATGTGCATGCTGGTTATTGTTATACTGTCTGGTAGAATGATTAAGAAGGCCTGTCCTATTTGTATCACATCATTGACATTTAATATACTGTGTGCCAGTTTAGTGCTTAATATACGGAAATAGGTATTCAGTTTTGACTTGAAAGCCAACTTGATCCAACAATAACACTGAACAGCTGCAGAAATCCCACTGCGAGAAAATGAGAATATTTTCCTTCAAATTTTTTAATGCATGGGAGAGATCGGAGACGGACTGTCTCACTAACAGGATTTATTTCCGAACCAGTATATTCAACGCAGACTTTTTGGTTGCCGTTTATGTTATTTGAAACCATTGTGTTCAACACCCATGGGCAATGCGAGGGGGTCAAGGGAAGATGCCCCCCCCCAAAAAAAGGGGGGCTTAGATAGTAAAGGGGAAAGGAGGGGCAAACAGAGGAGCAAATGGGGGAAAGATACGAAAAATAATGATAATCAGCAATTTGCTTGAAAAAAATCTCAAAACTGATTCCTCTCCCACTGATAGTTGTTAACTGGTCCGCAATAGATGATTGCTTTGCCCCCCCCCGAAACTCCTGGCAGCGCCCATATCTACTCCCGCGTTTATTACATCGGGTCACGAGTACAGATTGTACTAACTACATTACTATTTTTCGCGGGGGAGGGGGCGGAATTTGGAATCTTTAATGAGGGACGAGGCTACACTGAGGTGGTTTTTATACATTTCTAGAAGGAGAGGCAATCAAATTGAATATAAAGTCGCCTTTCTCTCATTATTTGAACCAAATTTACTGGGGTGCATTATTCTCCGTTGTTCCCTCAGGTTTGCCAGTAAGGTGAGAGTACTTTTTGCTAGCAAAAAGCGAGATAGCAGGTAATATCACCTACGTGATTGGGACCACGTATGCTTACCTTTCACTTGGTTAATTGATATCCGACGATATCACCTTCAAGTCCTGTGTAAAGGGAGCTAGACCGAAAGTGGTGGTTGACTGAGAGAGTAAACGACGAAAACGCGTTGCATCGGTCCCAGTCTTGAGTGCGATGTATTCATTTAGCACGCCTGCTGCATGACGTATCCAGCGTGCAAGTGGGACATGGCAGACGACTCGATCTCTGGGCCGACGTTTTACCTTTTGCAAAAGTGGAAGCCATGGCGGTTGCGACACATCAGAAGAGAGGTAGCGGCCGTTCAGGCTACCAACCATAGCAAAATGAGAACCAGCGAGATACAAACCAGTTTTCGTTGGCAAACTACTTGCACCGTTGTTAACCTGCATTCTGCACGTCATTGAGAAATATTTAATTAAGCAACAGAAAGTGTTGAGCAGTTAAGTTTTTTGTGATTGGAATGATGAGAGACGTATGCTCATTCACCTTTCAAACTGCATCAACACCCCTAAAACCTTTCAGACAACAACGATTAATGAGAAATTACATTTTCTTGCGCTAAATCTTAGGGGAAAGGGCCGTGTATCCTCAGCCGAAAATTCGGCTTGCAATATAAAACGGAAAAAATAATTAGGGAACAGTGAATTACCCCTACCACTGATCCCTACGTCAATTTGTGATATGCTTGTAACCTTGCATTGAAACACAACATTCATGAGCCAGGAACCTGTTCTAAATGTTGAAATGTAGCCGCATGGATTTTTGGGACCCGATCGTTCTTTAACTGTATACTTTTTTCAATGTATAAAAACTATTTCTTATCCTAGGTAGGCAAAATGCGTTGAAAAGTACACTTTCTAAAAATACCTTTTAAAATCGTCCATGCTTTTCTGGATAAAATTAACTTACGAGAACGCTTTAGCTGTGTTGTCATCCATGGAAGACATAGCTCAGTGGACAGGTTTTATTGTTCAAAATACAAACCTAGAATTTAATCGCTAAAAGCATTTAGAGGGGTTGATTGGCTGCTTACTATAGCGTGCACTTACACGCCGATGACTCGCAAAGAAAAATGAGTCCATTGAAATCTTTAGAAATGTGGGAGTTCTTATGTACAAACCAATGTAACATCGTGGCTTTATTCCTGCATTGGATGACATCACATTTTTGCTAGTGAAATAAGGAAATACTCATTAGCATAAACACCAACAAGGCAGTTAATATCCTTTGAAACTAGGAAACAAAAACTGAAAACGAGGTTACCTAAGAGATAAAAGGTAACCTTTTAAGATTTTTCAAAATCTCCAATGCAGCTACCCATTAAAACGAACACGTCCGTGGTAGTAACTTTTAAGTTTTCATTGTTTCATAATATTCAAAATCACGTTAATAATATCTGCTACGGTCTGTAATATCTCAACGAATTTAAATTTGCGATTCCTTATTTGATGCGTCGCAATGTTCGTTTCGCAACTTGACATAAGAGGTTGCTTGCGCTCCAAGAGAATAAACAGGGTCAAATGTACTGATTCGCAGGCCCTATAGGCACCGTTGTCTTAGGCCCTACTCCGCCAAAAATAGTTCAACAAGAAATATTTCAATGACACTGGTAAGCGAGGGATTGACCCTTCCCATTTTGTGTTGATGCAAAGCCTCTGTCGACAAGCCGTGTACTACCGGTACACAGTTTGAACTGTGAACTCATAATTTTTTCGATAGATGGTTGATAATTGGCTTTTTACCGTGAATTTACTGAACAGTGATTTACCATTGAAAAGAAAAAAAATTCAAAATAGAAAAATATCAAAAACTCATGAACAAATCAGTGAAACATGGAGCTTTCTCCCTGGAATATGACAGTTTTGCTCGTGAATAATTTGCATATCGTAAAAACCCCAAAGCACCAAATTACCATAAATATAGCAAAACATAAATTAAAAATAAGGTTACACTTTAAAAACTGTGTTTAGTAAGGAATCATTATCTTGGTTTCATGTCGTCAACATGTTTAGATGCTATAGACATTAAATTTTAGTCCCCAGTTCCTGAAGATCAATATTTAATGGCTAAACACTATCGATAATGTCTCTAACTCGTTTAGCATGAATATAGCAATGAACTGATAGCAAGAAAGTTGTTAGAAAAATGTTTAATGGCTCAACAAAATGTTGCAAGTGTAACTGAAATACATATACATATGAGTACAGGTGCTTTAATGGGCTGGAGTGTAAAACCCAGCGCCCATTGTAAACATGTGACCATTTAAAATTAAAAGTCTTTTTGGAAATGAACGTGTTTTGGTGTTCAGAAGGGGTTACCACCCGACAACCGTGTTTTGTGTCTTGTTATTAACACTCACATATTCACTGTGTCTATTTTATTAACATATCAACACGTATTATTGTATTTGTTTAAAAAATAACCACAACAACTTTATTAGGTTTAGATTACCAACAACGCAACACGTTCATAGAGTGCTACCAGGAAGACGCTTAAAAGGTGTTAAAATATTTACACACGTTTTTAAAGTGTGCCGAAAAAATGCATTGCTTAGCCTACATTGATACAAGAAAGCCAAGTAACACAGTACCAGGCCTTTCCGCGCGTGATTCAAACATTAACGATAACAATTAATGATTCTGTAATCAGAGACGATACCGAAGGTTTGGAGAGAATGATCGTTTGTCCCTTTTCACTCAAACAGGTACACCCCCTCCTGCAGGAACGATGGTCACTGGTGACCGAGACAGCGCTGACAGCACATTGTCTGATCGGCGCGCCATTTGCTCGTCCATTTCCCGTCTGCCAGCCAATTACTGAACTAGACCGGGGACAAACACATTGCTGAGTGGCTAGCACACCCTCTCCTCTTGGTTGCCACATTCCACTGGAACTTTGAGTAAATAAGAAAATCATTCCTCGTGGACTTAATCAAGTCTGCAATGTGAAGGGGAATCCGAGAATTCGGTGATTTCTCTCGTATGACTGACGACGACTAATCGAGACCTGTGGCATACTGAACTGTTTTACTGTTATGGCCGACTATTTCACCAGCACGGCGTGCCGCATTAAGGCTGTTTTGATCAATGACATCATTTGGATCAAAGGCCAAAACTGACTCGGTTTTAGGCATTTGAGAACACACAGTCTGTTTTTCCTGTTCACTTGTATGGCAAACGCACGGAAACACACCCAGACCTACATCAATATTCTTCTCATGCCGGGGCATTACTTTGACCTCACACTTAGTACAACCCCTGCATAATGTCGGGCGCCTAAATGTCCGTACCATCAACGACATTTTGCAACGTTTGAAAAAATCTCACAGGGCACCAATGATACCTACAAGTCACCGAAAGCGATGTCGTGTATTTTATATTAAAGAAAGATGTTGTACACGTTTTATACGTCCAAACATTCAGCGCGTCTGCCGTCAGGTACCGGTATACATTTACAAACCAGCTAGATGGCGTGGCTGTAACGTGGCGGGGAAAGCATCCCTCTACATAGGGGGTGAACACTTCCCTGACTGATGATTGATTGCATTTATCTTACCAGCAGAAAGAACGGACGCAGTGGTAGAGCGCCCTTCATTAGAATAGTTTATATTTGTACAGAAATGGCAAGCAACAAACAAACCCGAAAACCAAACAAAATCGAACTATGAAGAAGAAGAAAGATTTCTGTGTGCAGTTCAACTGGTTCCAATCCCACCCGAGCCACCATGAATACCTACCGCGTGGTATTTGCCTAAAATGAAGAAATTCTCGGGGATTTTTCTCAACACCTAAAACTGGCCTTTCTTTCAACTTTCTTTCAACAGAGTCTTGGACATATTACAGTAACCTACATAATGATAAAATTTACTTTGAAGGTGCATTGCCGAACAATTACAAAAAAAAGAAGAAAAGAAAGAAAAAAATGGGTTACTACTCTCACGCCTTCCTCCTGAACTGAGAACACACTGTCAGGGTTTTCGTAATGTAGCGGTCCGGCCCCCTGGNAAAACACACCCAGACCTACATCAATATTCGTCTTATGCCGGGGCATTACTTTGACCTCACACTTAGTACAACTCCTGCATAATGTCGGGCGCCTAAATGTCCGTACCATCAACGACATTTTGCAACGTTTGAAAAAATCTCACAGGGCACCAATGATACCTACAAGTCACCGAAAGCGATGCCGTGTATTTTATATTAAAGAAAGATGTTGTACACGTTTTATACGTCCAAACATTCAGCGCGTCTGCCGTCAGGTACCGGTATACATTTACAAACCAGCTAGATGGCGTGGCTGTAACGTGGCGGGGAAAGCATCCCTCTACATAGGGGGTGAACACTTCCTTGACTGATGATTGATTGCATTTATCTTACCAGCAGAAAGAACGGACGCAGTGGTAGAGTGCCTTGCATTAGAATAGTTTACATTTGTACAGAAATGGCAAGCAACAAACAAACCCGAAAACCAAACCAAATCGAACTATGAAGAAGAAAGATTTCTGTGTGCAGTTCAACTGGTTCCAATCCCACCCGAGCCACTATGAATACCTACCGCGTGGTATTTGCCTAAAATGAAGAAATTCTCAACACCTAAAACTGGCCTTTCTTTCAACTTTCTTTCAACAGAGTCTTGGCCATATTACAGTAGCCTACATAATGATAAAATTTACTTTGAAGGCGCATTGCCTAACAATTACAAAAAAAAGAAGAAAAGAAAGAAAAAAAAATGGGTTACTACTCTCACGCCTTCCTCCTGAACTGAGAACACACTGTCAGGGTTTTCGTAAACTTCATCTAAGGCTTCACTTCATCTTTTAGTCTCTAACTTTGAAGCTGTCCATTAATATCTTAGACAGTGCCGGATCCGAGCATCGAACTGGGGCCAACATCCAACAGATCTAAATATTAGGGTTTTTTCAATTAAATTCAAACACCGTAGGCCCACACTGATCTTACCGATGAAGCCTGAGACGGAGACGAAGCGTAATGGAAACCATCCCGTCACTATAAACAAGATTTTATGGAAATACACGGTAGACTGCTGTCTGAGGGCGCTGTGTGCAGGGGGTGTTCATAGCCTTTCGTCAAGGCCTTCGTGGCCCTGTGTGTGTGTAATCGCAAAGCGACTGGACAGGAGACCAGGCGAGTGGCTCAGCCGCTCGTGCATGTGGTCTGCTGTCCAGTCGCTTTGCGGTTACACACACACAGCCATGAATGCCTCAACAAGATGTTTGACTTATGTTGTGCCGCTGAGGCTCTAAACCCAGAACTGGGGATCGTAGGACATTATAAAGTAGACTACGGCTTTTTAGAAACAAATATACAACTTAGTATTGAACTAGATTGTTTCAAGAATACACAAATTTCCATTCAAAATCACCACACATCCGTTTTGGCAAAACCTTCAGGTAAGGTGACTTCTTTATACCACTGATGCTCTTACAGTCAGTGTTTTGGCAAGTTACAAGTCACTGATAAGTATACTTCCTGGATAAGGCACTTCAGATCCTTGCTTGAACACAAATATTTCGGCCTTGGTGGATATTTACAGTTTCTCCCACAGCTTCCCGATGTCGATCCTGTTCTGTGGATCGTCGACTGGCTCGTGCCTTGTCCCGTCCGCGGCCTGCATGTCGCCCACTTCCGAGCGGCCGGTGTGCCGCCTGAAGGCGGGCGAGCAAGCCTCAATGTGCAGCCGCAGCACGCCCGCCTTGTGTAGGCGGGTCAGCAGCTCGAACTCGGAGTGCATGTCGTGGACGCGCACCATGTGGGTGTTGTCGAAGTAGTGGTACTTGACCGGGTGCGTGGTGACGTGGGCCATGGAGGAGTCCAGGAAGGGCCAGAAACCGTACAGATGCAACTCGTCGCAGAGTGCGATGGCGGCCGTTGCCAGGTACAAGCCTGGCCAATGGGAGAAAACGATGAACAGTGCAGGTTAATGTGTCAGGCAATAATTCATTTGGATGCAACATCAGGTGCTACATATTAAACGTGAACTTGTTTGCAAGCTGATCTGTCGTTGTCGTCAATAAAAATAAATGAATGAATTAAAAAATGGGTCTGATGTATCGAGCTTACTCGACAGAATCTTTCTCAAAAGGCGAAAATCGGCAAGCAGTCTTGAAGCAACTTTTTCCTTGCATTTAGTTCCGTGAATTTGATGAGAGCACCGTGTACTTTCCTAGTATTTTGTCATCTAAAAATGATTCACGGGTTGCTGAAATCCTTTCTATAAAGCTTTCATTAAAATACTTCCGCAGTGGAAATCACCTTATGCCTTTTATTAAATAGTGCCTTTAGTTAAAGGTATTATACATGTAATACTCAGTTTTCTCTCAGAATAACCAGCTGATTCAATTTGGCCTGAGGAAAAGAACCAAGAAAAAAATACTGTATTTCATGTTATCTCTCTCCATGGTTTCTCGGATTTAAAAACAAAGCTTGCAAGTCTCTGCAGAGAGAGCTGAACTTGAAGCATATTTGTGATTGTCTTTCATTCATTCTTTGAATACTGACCGGTAGAGGGATATTTGGACAGCCCCTTAGTGGCCCAGTAATCCCTGATGAGCGAGAACTGGTCCGGATCCCCAAAGGCGACGCCCAGCGACTCCTTCGGGGTCAGCCGGAGCAGGGCCCGGTTGCATATCGGTACCCAAGCGTCGTCGCTGAAACACGGCAGCATCAGCAAACCCTGGAACTGAGACACATCCTTATTGAACTTGTCGGTGAGTTGCGTGTTGGCAAAATAATTATACCTGGGAGAAGGAGAACGACCAGAGGTGTTGTGAAGTAAAGAACAGTTTTTACAAAAGCACCGTCCTAGGGCTCAGGGCAAACTGTGTTAAGGGATATAAAAGGACAGAACTAATTGATGCACACTACAAAAACTGTGGTGTTAAAATTGGTGTTATTTAACGCCTTTGGTGTTAACATAGGATAACACCCAGTTAAATTAACACAACAAGTTTTGCAGCGAACGGGGAAGACATGGTTGTTATGAAGAAAATATCAAAATTCTGCATTTCATCGCATACTTACTTTCGCTTAAAAATGCTAGGATTCAGCGTGGTAAAATTGGTCTTGTATCCGACGTCCTCAATATATGGGTCCATTTCTGGTACATTAATCCTGAAGAAAAAAATCCAATTGGTATCGGGCTAATTGTGATTAACAAACCACAAAGGCTAGCACTGTAAACTTCCCCAACGCATTTTTGTCGAAGATTGTCAGTATCAAAGAAATCGTCTGGTTCTCTCTTTTCCTCCGACAAATTTTGAAAAAGAGCTCCACCCACCGGCATGTCTTTACCTGAAGACGTAGTCGGCGCTATCTATTGCGGGACCGCATGCACTGTTCATCAGCAGGCCGCTGTTGCCAACCACGCC